GCAACTAGCTCTACAGCTGCAGCTAGAGCCTAAATGGAGTCGGTGCCAGTCAGGCAGTGTTTGGTGATTTCAGTACTGAAATTCCGGTGCTAGCCGTGATTCCAGTTCACCTCAATCAGGCCACAGGAATCCCCCCAGCATCTCACTGCAAGTTGAAACTCGCATCCTTACTCCTAGACAGTAAATGCACTTGGGGGTCAACGCACGCCTAAGTATACCTTAGGTGCGCAACAGGTCTATTACCCGTCAGAATTCCTAGGTGAAAAGAGGAAGTAGGCGGACACCATGATCGGTCAGGCGCTGATGAAACATTCATCTACAAATGAGATACACATGCTCAGACCCTAGGCTGACCCTAAGCTGACGGTGCCACAGAGACAAACCACTTGATCGCATACTCAGCAGCAGCCTCGGAGTTTTTCCTCCCACTCCCTCCCATGGCCGCTCACCTTTGAGGCAGGAAAGGAGCAGTTCAGGGGGAAGCCACGATGCTTACAAAGCAGCTCACCACTCATCAGCCAGTGACAGCTGTAATCTGCCGGCTGAGAACTAAACTCAGACACCAGATTCTTCCACAAAGGCCTCCTCACCGGCTGTCCAATGGGTACAGCGTTGAGACGACTCAAAACCGCACAACAGGCCTGGCTGTATTCCTGACGGTGCCTCTCCACCACCTTGCGACCACTTCGTATTTTATTAAGAACACTAATAAAGAGTCCGCCTCACTCTGGATAGCTACCAAGCTCCACACAGGGAGCACCACCCTGCCGTTTAACTTTCTGCGCATACGCGCGTCTCTCCCTCCCACCTTTCTGAGATGGGTCCGACCGGCCAACGGAGGAGAAACGCAGACACTCCCCAAAGTCCAAAGATGGCAAACCACCAAAAGGTCCCCGGTGCCAAATCCGACTTATCCAGGCCTCGGCTCCAGACGCGGTAAGACCCGCCATCTCCAAGGCCGGCGGGGAACCCTGGCTCGGGGAACGCGGGCGGGCAAACACCGGTGTAGACGGACCAGGCCGAGGTCGGCCGATGCTGGGCGACCCCCGTCAGCAGCTGGGGAGGGGGCTGCACCCCGAAAACGGGGAAAGAAGCCGGCGGAGGGGCCACTCCCGGCCAGCACGCCCCCCGCTCCCGGCCCCGCGAGCATCCCGGACTAACCCGACCCCAGCCCGCCCGCCAGACCCGGCTCACCCCGCCTCGGCGGGCAGCGGCGCGCCCCGGACCCGGTCGGGCCAGCTGCTCGGCGGACGCCCGCGGACGCGCTGGGCTCACTCCTGGCAGCGCGCGGCGGGCCCGGGGCCGCTCGGCACCATCCTCCCCGCCGCGCCGGGGGCAGCGTCCGGCTCCGCGGGGCCGAAGCGAGTACCAGACGCCAACTGGGCTCCCGCCGCCGCCTCAGCTCTGGCTCCGGCGGCCGCGGTTTCCGGGTGGAAAAAAAAAACACACACACACACACACACACGCCACCTCCAACGCCGCTGTGACCTCCGACCCCGGGCGTCCGACGGCGGCGCGGCCGGGACAAGCTTCGTCAGAAGCAGGCGGTGGAAACACGTTTCCGGGCCGGGTCGCGTGCGTGGCGGACGTGCGTGGAGTGCGTGATGGAGGTTGGTGGGTCTGCGTGCGGGTTTGGTGCTCTGCGCGTGCGTGTGTGCGTGGTGCGTACGTGTGGCTCCTAGTCAGTGTGCGTCGTGTACAAAGGTGCGCGCGTGTGTGACGGGTGTGTGTGTGCAGCGTGGATGTGTAGGGAGTGTGCACACGTTAGTGCACACAGTGTGCTTACGTGTGCGCCGTGCGTGTGTCTGTTGATGTGCTGGAATATTAATCACTGCTGATAAACGTATGATTTGGGGCTGGGCGCGGTGGCTCACGCCTGTAATCCTAGCTCTTTGGGACGCCGAGGCAGGAGGATCGCTTGAGTCCTGGAGTTCGAGACCAGCCTGGGCAACATAGGGAGACTGTCTCTATTTATAAATAAAAACAAAATGAAGGCCGGGCTCGGTGGCTCATGCCTGTAATCCCAGCACTTTGGGAGGCCGAAGTGTACGGATCACGAGGTCAGGAGTTGGAGACCGGCCTGGCCAATATGGTAAAACCCCATTTCTACTAAAAATACAAAAATTAGCTGGGCGTGGTGGCGGGCGCCTCTAGTCCCAGCTACTTGGGAGGCTGAGGCAGAAGAATCGCTTGAACCCGGGAGGCGGAGGTTGCAGTGACCCGAGATCGGGCCACTGCGCTCCAGCCTGGGCGACAGAGAGAGATTCCCTCTCAAAAAAGTAAACTAAAAACAAAATGGAAAATGAAAAAAGAAGTATATTTTTGTAAAATCACTTTGCAAAATAATTTGCATTATGCAGTACACTTAAAGAAGCACACATCCTCTCTTGAAATATGTTATTCTGGAGAAACAGTTGCACTTATGCACCAGTAGACAAAATAATGCTCATAGCTGCACTGTTTATAGCAGCAGAATGGTTCCCTAAAAATTGAGGAGAAAAAGCAGATGTCCATACAGTCAAATGTAAAAATCAACTTTGATATATTTATGGTTTGGTTTGTTTTTCTACAGACAGCGTCTCCCCATGTTACCCAAGCTGGTCTTGAACTACTGGGCCCAAGTGATCCTCCTGTCTTGACCTCCCAAAGTTCTGGGATTACAATTGTGAGCAGCCATGCCGTGCCCATCTTCATTTTTAATCAGATACAAAAGACAAGTGAAAATTATTTAATACAGTTCACACAATTATGGTAGTCAATTTCAGAATATAATTTTGGCAGGGAGCAAATCACAAAATGGTACACTGCTACATATTCCCATTATATAAAATTCAAAACAGGCAGGTTAATCAACATACTGTTTAGAGATGCATAGGTAATTGATTGAACAGGGGTAAAAGCTACATAAACTTCATGTTCAGTGTGAGGGAAATGTGATGGGCGGGGGCACATGGTGCTTTACAGGTAATGAAAGTTTTGTTGTTACTTTTTTTTTTTGAGACAGAGTTTCACTCTTGTTACCCAGGCTGGAGTGCAATGGTGGGATCTCGGCTCACCGCAACCTCCGCCTCCTGGGTTCAGGCAATTCTCCTGCCTCAGCCTCCTGAGCAGCTGGGACTACAGGCACGCGCCACCATGCCCAGCTAATTTTTTGTATTTTTAGTAGAGACGGGGGTTTCACCATGTTGACCGATGGTCTTGATCTCTTGACCTCGTGATCCACCCGCCTCGGCCTCCCAAAGTGCTGAGATTACAGGCTTGAGCCACCGCGCCCGGCCTGTTGTTACTTTTGAGAGAAGGTCTTGCTCGGCCACCCAGGCTGGGGTGCAGTCTCACTGCAGCCTCAACCTCTCAGGCTGAAGTGATCCTCCTGTCTCAGCCTCCCGAGTAACTGGGACCACAGGTGTGCACCACCATGCCCAGCTAATTTTCGTATTTCTTGTAGAAATGGGGAAACCCCCATTTGCCCAGGCTGGTCTCGAACTCCTGGGCTCAAGTGAACCACTCACTTCCACCTTCCAAAGTGTTGGGATTATAGGTGTAAACCAGCGCACCTGGCCAACGGGACCCATTTTAACAAGGGTTTATCAGGTGATGCCTGCAATGGTCAACACAATGGCTCAGTTCCTTCATTGAATACCCTCTTATTTCCATGGTTCTTGCCCTCATTTGTCATCTTGCACCATTTGAATTACCTTCCTTGTTGTAATGGGTGTCACATAATCTGCAAGTGCAGGCAGTATTGAATTGTGTGTATATAACGATGGAACCAAACTCCCTAGTGAGATGTCCCTTACCCAGGCTATGACTGATAATGTAATTAAAGGAGCCCCACCGCCAATGGCACCATATATGACCTAGTGATTGAGACTGTAGGAGAATGTAAAAAAGGCAACCTCAAATCTTTTATCCTAGCTACCTTGTATGGGATTTCAATAAAATTTTTGTTTTTGTTTTGAGATGGAGCCTTGCCCTGTTGCCCAGGCTGGAGTGCAGTGACATGATCTCAGCTCAGTGCAACCTCCACCTCCCTGGTTCAAGCAATTCTTCTGCCTAAGCCTCCCAAATAGCTGGGATTACAGGCACATGCCACCACGCCCCGCTAATTCTTGTATTTTTAGTAGAGACTGTTTTGCCGTGTTGGTCAGGCTGGTCATGAACTCCTGGCCTCAACTGATCCACGCACCTTGGCCTCCCAAAGTGTTGGGATTACAGGTGTGAGCTACTCAGTCTAGCCAAGATTTAAAAAACCCTTTTTAATGGGGACAAGTTCTCATTGTGTTGCCCAGGCTGGTTTTGAGCTTCTGGCCTCAAGCAATCCTCCTGACTCAGCTTCCCAAAGTGTTGGGATTACAGGTGTGAGCTAGCACGTCCAGATGGATTGTAAAAAAAAATTTTTTTTTTTTAAAACAGAGAAATTAGATGGTGCAGCCATTTTTAGGAAACAATCTGGCAGTGTCTCAAAAAGTTAAACATAGAGTTACCATTTGAAGCCAGGCGTGGTGGCTCATGCGTATAATCCCAACGCTTTGGGAGGCTGAGATGGGAGAATTGCTTGAGCCCAGGAGTTCAAGACCAACCTGGCCAACATGGTAAAACCCTGTCTCTACTAAAAAAAACACAGAAAAATTAGCCGGGCATGGTGGCAGGCACCTGTAATCCCAGCACTTTGGGAAGCTGAGTCAGGAGGATTGCTTGAACCCAGGAGGCAAAGGTTGCAGTGAGCTGAGATCACACCACTGCTCTCCAGCGTTGGCAACAGAGTGAGACTCCATCTCAAAACAAACAAAAACAAAAAACCAGCCTGGAAAACAGCAAGACCCTGTCTCAGATGAGCAAATAAGTTCTAAGACATATGGCTTTATTTAAAAAACAAAGTTACTGGCCGAGTGTGGTGGCTCGCGCCTGTAACCCAGCACTTTGGGAGGCTGAGGCGGGCGGATCACTTGAGGTCAGGAGTTTTAGACCAGCCTTCCCAACATGGCGAAATCCTGTTTCTGCTAAAAATACAAAAAATTTGCCAGGTGTGGTGGCAGATGCCTGCAATCCTAGCTACTTGGGGGTGCTGAGATGGGAGAATGGCTTGAGCCCAGGAAGCAGAGGTTGCAGTGAGCCGAGATCACACCATTTCACTTCAGCCTGGTCGACAGAGCCAGACCTTGTCGCAAAAAAAAAAAAAAAGTTATCATATGACCTCACAATTCCACTTCTGGAGACCCAAGATAATTGCAAACAAAAATTCCAAATAAATGGTTGTATAGGAGTGTTCATAGCAGCATCATAATAGCCAAAAAGTGGAAGCAACTCAAATGTTCATCAGCTGATTAATGGATAAACAAAATGTGGCAAATCCACACAGCAGAATGGTAGTCAGCTGTGAAAAGGAATGAAGAACCTATGCAAACTACAGCACATATGAATTTTGAACATATTATGTCAAGTGAAAGAAGCCAGTCACGGCCAATATGGTGAAACCCCATCTCTAGTAAAACTACAAAAGGTAGCCAGGTGTGGCGGTCTGTACCTGTAATCCCAGCTACTCGGGGGACTGAGACAGGAGAATCACTTGAACCCGGGAGGCAGAGGTTGTAGTGAGCCGAGATCGCACCATTATACTCCAGCCTGGGCGACAGAGTGAGACTCTGTCTCAAAAAAAAAAAAATTTCTCTTTTTTAAAGAAAGAAGCCAGTCACAAAAGACCATGTAGTGGATGACACATTTCTATGAAATGTCCAGGATAGACAAATCTATGGAACAGAAAGCACATTAGTGGTTGGGTTGCCTAGGGTGGGCAGGAGGCAAATTGCGAGGTGGTAATAGACAGGGGGTTTCTTTTGGGAGTGAAGAAAATGTTCAAAAATAGGCCGGGAGTGGTAGCTCACACGTATAATCCCACAACTTTGGGAGGCTGAGGCCAGTGGATCACGAGGTCAGAAGTTTGACACCAGCCTGGCTAACATGGTGAAACTCCATCTGTACTAAAAATACAAAAATTAGCCTGGCATGGTGGCGTGTACCTGTAATCCCAGTTACTTGAGAGACTGAGGCACAAGAATCTCTTGAACCTGGAAAGTGGAGGTTGCAGTGAGCCAAGATCAGGCCATTGCACTCCAGCCTGGGCGACAGAGCAAGACTCCGTCTCAAGAAAAAATAAATATGATGATGGTTGCACAGTTCCGTGGTTAAAGTAAAAACCACTGAAGTGTGCACTTTTAATTGAGTTAATGGTATAGTATGTTAATTATATCTAAACAAAACTTTTTTTTAAAAAGGTTAGGGCTTTACAAAAGAAAGAAAACCAAAACAAGAAAAGGCATAAA